TGGGGGTCCCCGTGGCCCCCCCGGCGGGGGAGGTTTTTGGGGGGGCCCTGCCGCCTCCCCCGGCGGTGTCAGGACATGGGGGGGCTGGGGCAGACCCCCCCCACCCGCGGTGCCCAGGCGACCCCCCCGGGGGGACGTGTCTGTCCCTGAGCATCGGCCTTGTGGCCCCCGGGGGGGCAGAGGCTCCTTCTTACCCCCCCCCCCCGCACCCCTTGTCGCCCCCCCGGGGGTCCCCGCGGGGATTTGGTCCCCGTTGTTGTCCCTGTGTGCCCTGGGAGGGTCCCGGGGGGGCCGGACCCGGCGCCTCGCGGCTTTAACCTCTCGTTTCCGTCAGTGGCCGGCGACCCCCCCAGCCCCGGCGCAGCCCCCCGCTCCGGGCGGGAGAGCCCCGCGCTCCGCACAGGTGAGTCCCAGCACCGCGCCCCGCTCCCAAATCCGGCCGCGTTTAAAGCGGTTTCTCTTCTCGCTGCTGCCTGGGTCTCCTCGCCCGTGCGGCGCCTCGTCCCGGCCCTGTCCCTCTTCCTCCTCCCGAGCCCCGCGGGCTCCCTCTCCAGCTATCCAGGTGTGTTGGGGCTGGGGTGTCTGTGGATCCTCCCCTGCCCCCCAAAGAGATAACATGGAAACTGATGTGTCCGTAGCCTCCTAATGAGCCTCCACACTGGGGGCAGGGCGCCAGTTCTGGATATCTGCCCAATTGCAGGTGGGCAGCTTCTTAATTGGTGTAATTATGAGGCGGTGTCAGGCTCCCTGGCAGCTTTCCCGTTAAGCAGAGCTCCCCAGAACGGCTTCCATGGCAGGTTCTGAGGCGCAGGGAGGCGGGATGGACGTCCTGAGCCTGGCCGAGTCCCCGCGGTTCAGCCGGGCGTCTCCAGCTGCAAGGGCCGTTTTGAGGGGACGCCTGTTAGTTACTGAGGTTTTAACCGGGAGTTTAAGCTTCCTTTTGGCTCCTCGTGGGGAGCAAAGGCCCTTTCTGGAGCGGCGGCCTGGAGGAGGCCGCCCTAGCGCGGGGCCGATGAGGAAACTTTCCTTAAATAGAAGAGGCTGAAGGCAGCGCGGGGTGACACGAGCGCAGGAGCGGCCGCTGTAAACAGAGACGCGAGGGCCGCGTGGCCCCGCCGCCGCGGCGGGGCTGGCGCCGAGGTGAGGGGCTCGGCGGAGCCCGCGGCGCCCGCCCCGGCCGGTGCCGCCGCTCCCGTCGGCGCAGGGCCCGGCTGCAGGGTGGTTTTGGAGCTGGGTGAATGTTTTAATGGCAGCTTAGAGAGGGCCTGGGCGGCTGTGTCGGGGCGAGCGGCCCGGGGCTGCCTCCCATCCCGGCGTTCCCGGGGCTCCCGTGGGGCTGCCGGAGGCTCTGTGGGGAGAGGGGGGACCCTGTCCGCGTGCGGCCGCACGGAGCGGGATGTCGGCTGCTTCCCGTGGGATCCACGACCCGCGGCTGTGCGGCGGGCACGCGTGGGAGCGGGGAAGGCGCCGGGCGCCCTGTGGGGCCGCACACAGCCCTGTGAGGCAGCGATGCCTCCCCGGTGCCCCTGCGCTGCTGCCTGCCCCACGGTGCCCGTCGCACGGGAGCCTTGGGGCACCCTGGGGCACCCTGGGGCACCCTGCCCTCCCGTTGGGGCAGGCCGGGCCCTGGTGGCGACGCTCCAGGTGAGCCTGGACAGCGGGGACACCGCTGGTGCCGAGCCTGAATCCCCCGGGCCGCGGGGCTGCGGCGCCGTCCTGCTCTCCGCGATGCCCCGAGCGCTGCAGAGGGAGCCCTCCTTCCCCAACATCCCTCCCGCTTCCGCCGCTCAGGCCTCACTCCTTTCCTTTTCTGATCTGCTTTCCCGTTTCCCGCAAGGTTGTAGTCCTCGGTGTGGGCGGAGGAGACACGAAGTCAGCCTAATTACTTGTAATGGATTCCTTTCCCCTGCGAGTGAGTTTCTCGTTGCTCGCCTTCACGACAAGCCCGCTGTGAAACGGCGCTGCTGATGGAGCCGAGTGGGTGACTTGGGGGGAGCAGAGATCCGAAGGGAGGCGTCGTGTGCGCACTCGGGCTCTCCCAGGCCTTTGCCTTAATGAGGATAAGGGTAATTGCCGGGTTTCAGGAGCGTAACCATGTGTGGAGTGAGAGCAGCTGGGATGGCTGTTTGGGCTCCTGGTTAGGAAGTGCCGGACAGTGGAGCAGGGAGCGGTGCCCGGAGCAGGGAGCAGCGCTCGGAGTGGGAGCAGCTTCCGGAGCAGTGCCCGGAGCGGGAGCCGCACGGCGCCGGGTGCCACCGCTCCACAGCTGTCCCGCGGCGCGGAAGCCTTTGGATTCCGGCTCCGTCCGCATGGAAAGGAGGCCGTGCCCATCCCGGGGGAGCCCTGCGGGAAGCCTTGTCCCGGGGAGCCGCGCGGAGCAGCTTGGGCCGGGCGGGGAAGCCTCGTGCGGACCAGACCCGGCCTTGCCGGCAGCGCTGTCCTCTGCGCGGAGCGAGCAACTCGCGGGCTCCTCGTGCGGCTGCTGAACCCCGCGCAGCCCTGGCTGGGGACACCCCAAAACCAGGCAGCCCCAAGCGCCGCTTCCCTTTGTCCCGAACCCCGGGCAGCCCTGACTGGGGACACCCCAAAACCAGGCGGCCCCAAGCGCCGCTTCCCATTCCCTTTGCCCTGAACCCCGGGCAGCCCTGACTGGGGACACCCCAAAACCAGGCGGCCCCAAGCGCCGCTTCCCGTTCCCTTCCCACTGTGCTTGTTCCTAGTCTACCAGGGAGTTCTGCGGAGCTCGTTGGTGTTTGCCCGCGCGACCTGGGCTCGGACTGTGGGAACCCGCCTGTGTTTGGGCAGCGAAAGCCCTTGGGCTCCGCAGCCGCCCGGGCCCCTCGCCGCTCCCCGGCGCGGCGGCTCCGCGCGGAGCCCTGCGCCGCTGGCCTCGAGTGGCAGGAGGGATCAGCACGAAACACCCGCGCCCAAAACGCTTTGTGAACCTCCCCGGTGACACGAAACGTCCCTTTCTAGTGGAGCCGCCTGAGAACTGCGCAAGGTTGTGACACGCGGCGTCACGTGAAAGCGGGGCCGAGCCAACCTCCTTGTTCCCCAGCCGGGAATCACGCTGCGTCCCGGCTCGTGGCTGGTAAACGTGGATGGGGCCAGACCTTTGCCCCCCTCGGCCTGTGGCTGGGTAGGGCCGGGACTGGTGGCCAGGCCGGGTCTAGCACGGCTTTGTCTCCAGCTCTTTGCTGCAGCTGCAGTTAATGAGGGGCCAGCCGCAGCGTTTCCCTTGTGGAAACGGGGAGCTTGGAACGGGCTCCCGGCACCCGACTCCGAGCAGCAGCTAAAACCCCAGCGTGGAAAAGGCTGCCTAAAAATAGAAGGAAAGCGACGGCCTAGCAAAGCATAAACGCAGTGTTATTTTCTGCTGCACCTTGGCAAAAGCTCTGCTGCTCGTGACTCGGGCGCGTTCGCCTCACGTGGCTCAGCTTGCCCCGGGAGGCTCTGCAGGCCCATCCTCGCGCTCCCGCGATCCCCTCGTCGTGATCCCGGTGCGGGATGATCCCCCCGCAACCGCCGGCCCCTTGGTGCTGGGTTTAACCCCTGTGTCCCCATCGGGGGCCGGCAGCAGCGGCGGGGCGGGCGCCCGGCCGAGCGCGGTCTCCTGGGAAGCTGCAGTCTTATGTTTCCCATGTGCTCCTGAGGAATTACTGAATTCCTAGATCCAGCGTCCGGTGAGGGTGTCCCGCGTGTGGCAGGGGGAAATGCTCCGTGACGGCCGCCGGGCGGGCATCATTCGAAAACCTGCCGCTGGGCTTCCAAAAGCCTCTCGAGCAGCTTCTCAGCAGCTGCCCACGGGCTGCAGGTGCCGAGAAGTTTCCCGGCGTCGCCACTTGCTGCTTCCCGAGCTGCCTCTCCTCGTCTGCGTTTCAGATCCGAGCCGTTTGCACGGCTGCCTCCCCGGGGTGCAGCGCGGGCTCCGCGCTCGCGGACGTGTTTTGTGCAGCTGTCTCGCTGCGAGCGATTACTGCCAAGCGCAAGTCAGTAGCTCGGCGTTCCTCCGAGCGCAGCTGAGGATGAGCAGCCCCCAAGGGAGCGTTTTGTGCCTTGGGGTGGAGAGGGAGCGGGTGGCAGCAGGGAGCGGGAGGCAGGCGCTGGGAACGGGTGTGACCCCCGGGCGGCAGTGCTGGACGATGCATGAAGCGCTCCGAGTCGCCAACCTGCCGTTAAGTTAGTGACACTGGCTTAATTAGTTAATTAAGTAGGAATCTAAGTGGTGAAGGGGACCGGCTGCGTGGTGTCCCGAGCGTGCGGGACGGGCAGCGCCGGCGCCGCTCCAGCCTCTGCATTCTCTCGCCCCCAGGGTGACCGCGCAAGGGGAGAGGATGTCGGACAAAGGGAGCAGCATGGACGGGAAGACGGATATAGTGAACGGTAAGGGAGGCGGCAGGGCCCCGTCCCGGCGCCGCGTCTCCCCCGCGCTTCGAGGGGCGCCCAGCCGGTCGGACTGTTGGTGGAAGCGGGAAGAGGCGGCGGGCATGGAGCTCGCTAGGCCAGCGCTTGTGCCAGCGCTGCGCGCCCGAGGGAGCTGGCGGGGCGCCCAGGGGTGCCCGCGTCCTCCCGTGTCCCTTTGCAGTGTCTGTCCTCACCTGGTTGCCCTGGGTTCGAGAGCGGAGCCGGGCTTGTTTCCCGTGGGAGCGGAGATGTGCCGGGAGCTGCCCGGGGAGCTCCGACCCCTTCTCCTGGGCACTCTGGGAGGAGACGGGAGAAGCAGGAGCGGGCGGGAGCGCGTGGGGCTCCTCGCTGAGGGGCTCCCTGTGCTGTCCGTGTGGTGCAGGCAGCTTGTCCAGCAGCCCGGAGGAGATGTCCGCTGAGGAAGGCCGGGAAACCTCCTCCGGCATCGAGGTGGAGGCCTCAGACCTCAGCTTGAGCCTCACGGGAGACGACGTGGGGCCCAACCGCACCAGCACGGAGAGCCGGGACACGGACACGGAGAGCTCGGCCGAGGAGAAGGACTCGGACAGCATGGACGACACGGGCCACTACTCCATCACCGAGGAGAGCCGGGCGCACGAGCGCTCGCACTCGGAGGACGAGGAGGAGGAGGATGAGGAGGAGCAGCGGGCGCGGCGCCGCACGCAGCGCAAGCGCGCCAGCCACGAGCAAGACTCCTCGGACGACGAGCAGGCCCTGGAGGACTGGGTGTCCTCGGAGACCACGGCGCTGCCGCAGCCGCGCTGGCAGGCGGTGCACGCGCTGCGCGAGCGCGAGCTGGGCTGCAGCGCCCGCTTCGTGTACGAGGCGTGCGGCGCCCGCGTCTTCGTGCAGCGCTTCCGCCTGCAGCACGGCCTCGAGGGCCACACGGGCTGCGTCAACACCCTGCACTTCAACCAGCGCGGCACGTGGCTCGCGAGCGGCAGCGACGACCTCAAGGTGGTGGTGTGGGACTGGGTCAGGAGGCAGCCCGTGCTCGAGTTCGAGAGCGGCCATAAGAGCAACGTCTTCCAGGTGAGGAGGGCGCGGGGTCTGGCCGGGGATGCCGCGGGGCGCGGGCCCCTCTCCAGGTCCCTGGTGGCGCTGGCAGCCGCAGGGGGCTCCTCTGTCGCTGCTGGAGCTTCCCAGCCCTGGCGGGATGGGCGATTTGGGAGCAGCCGTGGGGCAGGAGCCGTGTCCGCAGGGCACGGGATGTCCCTGTGCGTGCGGCAGCCACGGCCCTGCTACCACCAGAGGGGGCCCGGCCGGGCCCTGTGCAGCTCCGCTGCCACCGGCCGCGTCCCCGCCGGTGCCTGGCACTGCCAGGGCCGCTCTGAGGGTCCTGGATCCCATGTAATAATGGGGAGGAGCTGAGCTCCACGGATCCAAGCGCTCCACGTGTCCAGCGCCGGTGATTCCGGTCCTGTGGGATTTGGCAGGGGTGGGTGTCGCATCCCTGCAGGGCCCCGTCCTGCTTGACGGGCCCCGCCGTTCCTAGACATGAGCGTGTGCCCCGGCTCTGAAAGCGCCCGTCCCTCTGCTCCCTTGTAGGCCAAGTTCCTTCCCAACAGCGGCGACTCCACGCTGGCCATGTGCGCCCGGGATGGCCAGGTCCGCGTGGCCGAGCTCTCGGCCACGCAGTGCTGCAAGAACACCAAGCGCGTGGCGCAGCACAAAGGAGCCTCGCACAAGGTGAGCGCGGCGCGGCGTGCGCAGTGGGGCACAGTGGGGCACAGTGGGGCACAGCGGGGCAGGACGGCAGCCGTGCACAGCCCTGCGGAGCCCCGGAGCCCCGGCCAGGCGTCCCGGCCCTGCGGGAAGCCGAGGGGCCGTCCCCGTCCTCCCTCGACGTCTCTGTTGGACAAAGCAGTTGTATTCAGCGGGGGTCGCTTCTTAATTGCTTGTTTTACGGCTGGGGTGGTGTGACCTGTCCGGGAGGACACGTCCCTCTTGGGCAGCAGCCCTTGGGGACGGGGAGGAAGGCGTTGGCCCTTGAACACGGCTGAGGCCAAATGCACAGGGTTTGTGCAGCCTCTGCAGCAGCTGCTTTTACTGGGAGTAGGGGGTTCGGTGCTGTTTTGGTGCCTGTTAATTGCTAATGGTCTGCTGGGAGAAGGGGGTCTTACCACCTTGTTAGGTAAAAAGGGAACCAATGCCCGAGTATTTATCTTCCAGCTGGCCCTAGAACCGGATTCTCCATGCACTTTCCTATCAGCAGGTGAAGATGCTGTAGTCTTCACCATTGATCTGCGGCAAGACCGGCCCGCCTCGTGAGTATTTCCCTACGTGCTCTGGCTGCGGGACCCCAGGAAGGGAGACGTGGGGCCCGCGGCTGCGCTGTGCGTGGGGCCGGCTCCCAGAGCTGCGCCCGTGCTCGCCCCGTGGCCAAAAAGGGGGACAATGTGGGGCTGGGGGGGCTCTTAAACCTCAGCCTCCCGTGGGGCGAGGTCAGAGCACGGAGCCTTCAGGCGGCCGGTGCCGTCCTCTCCGTGCAGCAGGATACGGATATGAACCTTGCAGCTCGGTAGTGTCCTTGAACCTTCCCTCCTCCCCTGGCTTTGGGACCTTTGGACCCGCTTTAAATGGGACCTAAAAATGAAGCCTGTGTGGCAGGTCCGTGTCCCTTGCAGGCTGCCAGTGTGACACCAAATTATCCGTCCCAAAGTGTGACACCAAATTATCCGTCCCAAAGGCAGCGCCTGCCTCGCTGGGGACCCTGACTTTTCCAGGTGTAAAACGCTCAGAGAGCTGCTCCCGTTCTGCCCAGCAAAGCGGCTCATTAATTACAGCACTCAAATCGCTCCACGCTGGCAGCAACTTGGAGCTTGTAGTTTGCCTGGCTCTCTCGTTGCCCGAGCACTGTTGTAGTTAATTGGAAAGCAATAATTAGCGAGCAGCCGGGTATTATGGGTTAAGATCCAGCACACATCTCGGAGATCTGTCGCTTCTGACAAGCTTCCAAAATAAATCCACGGCGAGTATTAAAACAGACGCCTGGTTTTGATATCATAGTACTTTTCCGATGCAGCAGAATATTGTTTTGAAGATGATCCTCCTTAAAACCGAGGGCTTCAGAGCTTGTCTCCTGGTGGTTTGGTTTTTATTTGTGTGTGCAAGTGCTTTGGTCTCCAGCCTTAAAACCATCTGTTTCATAACCAGGATAAAAACTACCGGGGCGTTTCAAAACAATTGTGTTTAATCTTCCTCCTCGCCCTGCTCCGTTACTTGCAGGGGCCATTTGGAAAGGGGGTTGTCGGTCAGTAAGTTGGGGTGGGCCTGGGGCTCCTCTGCACTCCTCTGTTTTTCCCTTTCTGGAGATCCATGCTGCTGTTTGGGTGTGATGCTCGCAGGGAATTGTCACCATAGGAATGTGAAACCGCTTCGGAGGCAGGGAGTGCAGGCAGACCGTAGGCAGCTCCCAGCTTTCATTAAGCCGAATGGTATAATTAGAATAAAGACGAGCTTTTGGAGCTTGCTGTTGCTGCTCGGGGATGCTGCCTCGGGTTGTGTGCGCGTCTGCAAAGCCCAAATACCGAGCCCAGGCTCTTGGCGGAGGGGACGCAGCGTGTGGCGGGTGCAGTAAAATCTGGCCCTTGTTATGGGGAGATGGAGAGGGGGGAAATAGGAGGCGAGCGGTTCTGCCCGGTGCGGCTCCGGCACCGTCCTTGCTGCAAAGTGTCCAGCTCTGTCGGGCTCGCGCAGTGAAGCCCTTCACACATCTTGGATGAAAACACCAGAGGATGATTTCACTCTGCGTTACTTGATTCATAGACAGAGCATGTGCTTGCTCCAATTTGGAAGCAGATTTTTTTATATTTTTTTTTTTTACATTTTTTTGCCTGGGAGTGAGTAAGAGACTCGCAGAGCTCCTGCATTTCCCATCTGGACCCTGTTTTGAATTCGAGGTAGATTTTTTTTGTTGTTGTTGTTATTCTTTTTATTCCTTGTCTCTTAAAGGAAACTAGTTGTGACAAAGGAAAAGGAGAAGAAAGTGGGGCTGTACACGATCTACGTGAACCCGGCCAACACCTACCAGTTTGCTGTGGGGGGCAGAGACCAGTTTGTGAGGTGAGTTGGGAACCGATCCTGTGCCCTCAAAATGGGCTTGAACATCCCCACGTTCTGGGGTTAGTGCCCCAAGGAGCTCTCAAGGCTCCCGTGTTCCCCGGATCCACCCGTGGCTTGAGTCAGTAGTGCCTCGAAAGGCTCTTCTCCCGTGAGCAGTATTAAGAGGAGTGGGATTAAGAGAGAAGGATTTGGATCCCTTGGGCTTTAGCCTTGTGATCCACTCTGCAGCCTGCCTTGGGGCTGGGAGATCCTTCCCTCGGGAACGAGCCATTCTCTTAATGAGCTTCCGAGAAATCTTCTCTAGATCCCCAAGCAGCCCTAGGTCCCAGTGTGTGTCAGCGCTGAGGTTAAGCTCAGGGACTGTCTTACTTTGAGCAGGATTGAGCTCCTTATGTGGCAAACACAAGCCCCACGTCCTTCCTCAGTGCACAACCCTCCTTAATCCCATGCAGCATCTACCTCGTGTCCCATTAGCTTGAAACCATGATTCTCTTCCCTTCCTGCCCTTGGTTTCTAAAGTGGTTCCACTCTGTGGTGCCCTGAGTGCTCAGGGCAGAAACCTCCCAGGCTGGACCTGGTTGTCTCCTTCTTCAGCACAGACCTCCTGGCGCTCAGGGGTCTGAAGTTGCAGCTCCCCTGGCGCCTGTTCTCGGCAAAGCGAATCGTGCGGCAGGTTCACGTGCCCGTGAGCTGGCGGCTGCAGCGCGGGCACCTGCCCTTAGCTGGGCTCCTCTTCCCACCCTCGGATCCCACCCGGAGCCACCAGCGCTCAGTCCTGAGCTTGTCCTTGCAGTGCCCTCAAGCCGGGGCTGGAGACGTTCGGGAAGGGATGCCGAGATCCCTGCCTGGCTGTGCCGGCAGCCGGAGCCTGCACTGGGTTTAGCTCCAGAAACTAGAGCGTTCCCGCACTGGTGCCGCTGGGTTTGGCTGCCGTTCAGCCTGGCGAGGCTGAGCGGGGCCGAGGCGGCCGCCGGGCTCCCTGCGGGGCTATTTGGCTCCCTGTGGACACGCGGGGGCCGCTCTTGGGCACGTTGGGGACGTGGCAGCCCCAGCTCCGCGGGGCGCCTGGCGCAGGCAGCCTCTGCCGCGGTGCCGGGCAGGGAGGCGTTGGCACGGGCCCCGCGGAGGCCGCCCACAAGCGGCGGCGCCGGCAGGGCCGCCCTGGGCGCCGCGAGGCCATGCAGCGCGGGGACAAGCGGGGTGACACGCGCGGCCCCTCTGCAGAGCCGTGACACGGCTGTGGCGCAGGGCCCCGCACGCAGGTCGCAGGCCGCCGCTGCCGTTGTCACAAGCCACCAACCGGCAGTTCCAGCCTGATGGGAGGTGACAGTAAGCTGCTTTGGCCGAGGTTTCTCTTAACCCAGGCCGCTCGGGTCCCTTGGCAAAGGCTGGAGCCTCCAGCCAGTGTCACGGGCAGGCCGTGATTCCCCAGCTGGGTTTAATGGGAGTCTCCATAAAAAAGCAGTGTGTGAAAAGCATGGCCCGGGTCTCGAGTGTGCGTCCAACTGCTGCCATCCTTCCCGCAGGATTTATGACCAGCGAAAAATAGATGAGAACGAAAACAACGGCGTGCTAAAGAAGTTCTGCCCGCAGCACTTGGTAAGCGGCTCAGGGCCGGGGGGACCCGCCTCGGGGAGTGACACACAGAGGACCCCCAGCAGCCGCGATGCCCTCGCGGCCACGCGCGAGAGCCCGGAACGGCGCCAGGCTCCGCGCGGCTCCGCTCCCGACGGAGCCTTGTTTAGAAGAGGCTGAGCAGCGCGCGCTGGCCGAGCCTCCCCCGGCCTCCCGCCTGGAAAACATGCAGAGAGGCTCAACAAACCGCCTGCCTTTTTTATTGTTTTTCCTTTTTCATTCCTCTTGACCCTGATCTTCCAGCATCTATAAAATGCCGCTTGGCTTAGGGTAGCATGTTGCTTTTATGGCCTGGCTTTAAAGGCTTGGCAAGGGAGCAGCTCCGAGCGCTCGGCAGCGGCGCGTGCTCGGCCCAGGTGTGCTGCGGGTCAAGGCCATTTTAGGGAGGAGGAGATGGGCTCAGAACTGTCCCTGTTTTCCGCAGGTAAACAGCGAGTCCAAAGCTAACATCACGTGTCTCGTGTACAGCCACGACGGGTCAGGTGAGTGAGAGGCGCCTCGTCCCGCCTGCCCTGCGCTCCGGGCACACAACCCTGCCCAGCTGCGGGGTCTCGAGGCTCCCACATATCTACCAAAGAAATCCCAGCCTGGAGAGGGGTGGAGAAGTGGCTGCCCAGGGAGGAATGTGCAGCAAGGTCCGCACGGAGCTGCAGCTCTGATCCGGGCGGCTCTGATCCGGGCGGCTCTGATCCGGGTGGCTGCCGGATGAGCCGCCCATCCCGCGCGGCCGGGACCAGGGCGGCTCCCCGCGCCGGCGCTCGCTGCTCATGCCCCTCTGCCTGTCCCTCTTGTCTCGTGCCAGAGCTCTTGGCCAGCTACAACGACGAGGACATTTATCTCTTCAACTCCTCGCACAGCGACGGGGCTGAGTACATCAAGAGGTACAAGGGACACCGCAATAATGCCACTGGTAAGGACCGCCTGGGAAGCGGTGTCCCTTGCATCCGCCCTTCCCAGCGAGCGGAGCAGGCGCTGCGCCTGCATCCCCAAGTCACCATTAAACCTTCCCACCTCCGGGTCCCTGGTGGCAGCCTTGGGGGGGCTGCCGAGGGCAGTTTCTCCCTCTTTTTTTGGCCCAAGATGAGGCTCTAGGGCAGGTTGGGTTTGGGGGGACCGTCCCCAGAGCAACCCCAAGGGAAAACTGCCCCCCTTGGGCTCGTTCGTGCAGCGCTGCTGGTTTGTCTGCCTCTCAAAGGCTCTTAACACAAACTCTTGGGCTTGCAAAGAATGAGCTATTATGTGTCTGGGGACGGAAGAGATCCACGCCGGTAACCTTGGAAACTTGCTCGCTGCCAGGGAGGAAGCGAATTCATGGCAGGGAGCGCTGCCCGGCTTCGCCTGGCCTCAGGCTGCTGCTTCCTCTCCCTTTTCAGTGAAAGGTGTCAATTTTTATGGCCCGAAAAGCGAGTTTGTGGTGAGCGGCAGCGACTGCGGCCACATCTTCTTGTGGGAGAAGTCGTCCTGCCAAATCGTGCAGTTCATGGAGGGCGACAAGGGAGGAGTGGTGAGTTTGTGCCGCGGGCTCCTGGCACCGCGCGCTGCGAGCGGCTGTCACGTTAACGAGCTCGCCCTCGTTATCCAGGCCACGGATTGGCAGCAGTCTGGGGGGTTCTTATCCCATCTTGGCTCGCGCCATGCGCCCTGCCAACTTGCTGCTGTTCTGTGTGTCCCTTCGGATTCCTAACGAAATCCGAGCGTGGCTCCCTCGAGCTCTTCTGCATGCGGGGTGCTCGGCACAAAAGCTGCTCCCTGTGTCGGGAGGGGTGACCGAGCGGAATCTGGGATGCCTGGGAATCCGACATGGATGAGGGCTGTGGGCGGCGGTGATGGAGTCCCAACAGCTTCCAAAATGAGAAATGGCCGTGTGGGAATGGCCGGGCAGGCTGAGGTGAAGGCTGCGGTCGAGATCCTCCTCCTCCTCCTCGTCCTGAGGGGCAGTTGAAGCAGTATCTCGGAAGGGCCGAGGAAACGCACGGGCACCACCAGCCTTTGGGGAGCTACCGCAGCCCCGAGAGCCCCGGGGCGGCCGCTGCTCCGCGGAGCCGCCGCAGCCGCGGCCAGGGCAGGAAGCGGCTGCAGCTGCTCCGGCCTCGGCTTTCCCAGGCCCTGCGCCCGGCGCGGTCGCATCCCGAGCGGCATCCGGCCGGGAAGCTCCCAGGGAGCCGGAGCGGCGTGCGTGGGCGCCGGCGCAGCCGCGGCTCCGAGCCGGGCCGCCTCAGCCGCTCCAGCGCCCGCGTTTGCCCCAGGTCAACTGCCTCGAGCCGCATCCCCACCTGCCCGTCCTGGCCACCAGCGGCCTCGACCACGACGTGAAGATCTGGGCGCCCACGGCCGAGAACCCCACCGAGCTGGCCGGCCTCAAGGAGGTGGGGACGGGCACGGGGCGCGCGAGCCCCTTTGCCGGGGCCGGCCCGTGCCCCGCGCGGCACCGCGCGCGCTCCGCTCTCCCTGTCCCCGCAGGTCATCAAGAAGAACAAGCTGGAGCGGGACGAGGACAGCCTGCACCACACGGACATGTTCGACAGCCACATGCTCTGGTTCCTCATGCACCACCTGCGGCAGCGGCGCCATCACCGGGTAGGTGCAGCCGGAGCCCGCCGTCACCGCGTCCCCGCCGTGCCCTCGCGCTCCTCATCGCCCTCCTCTTCCTCGGGCAGCGCCGGCGGGAGCGCGGGGCGCCCGAAGGCGACTCGGACGAGTCGCCCAGCTCGTCGGACACGTCGGACGACGAGGAGGAGGGCCCGGACCGGGTGCAGTGCATGCCCTCGTGAGCGCTGCCCGCCCGGCCCCGCCACCACCGGGAGCTTTCAGGGCCGGGTGAGACCCCTGCCCGCCCGGGCCGGGGATGGGGGCACGGCGGGGGGCCCTCTGCTCCCGGGGGGCCACCGATTTTCTATTGATGTTCCCGGGGGGCCAGGCTCCCCCAGCCCTGGCCCCCCCAGCCGCCTCCACCTTGGCTTTTTCCTTCCTTTTTTTTTCCTTCTTTCTTTTTTTTTGGGGGGGGGAACGGGACATTTTGGGCCCCCTGTCCCCCCCTCCCAGGGCCACGTGTCCCCCCCCCCGGGGGCGTTTGCAGAGATGCTTGTCTAGTTTGTACATATCAGTGATTTGCACTTGGTTTGCCCCCCTTTCCACCCCCCTGCGAGTCCCTTTGCAGCCCCTGCTGTCCCCAACCTCCACCGGGGGACCAGGGCACCCACCATAGCTCGGAGGAGACAGGAAACTTCCTTTAATTTTTTTTTTCCTGTTACTTTTAAGGAAATCTCTTATTTTTGGGGAGCTATGGCAAGGATTTCTCCTCTTTTTCCACCCCCCCCCGCCCTGCCGTTGCCCCCCCTCCCATCACTGGTTAGAGGCCTAATTTTATATGTATTAAAAACAAATTGAACTCGGATGTTATCAAGTTAAAATTATTGTAAAAGTTTGAATATATATTATATATAAATGCAATAAAAACCAATGGAGAGATGCGGTGCTGCGGCTCTGCTGTCGGCAGGGTTGGGGTTACCCTGGGGGGGGGGGGGGCTGGGTCTCCCTCCCCGTTTTACCCCTTTTTGCTGCGTTTTGCCCCACGAAGCTGCCCCCGACAGAGCCACGAGAGCCGCGGTGCTTTGATAGACGTCTGTTTATCAGGTATATGTACACACAGTTAGCGCGGTCGGAGCGGGGGGCACCGGGGGGGCGCGGGCGGGGGCAGCGCGGGGTCCCCCACCCATGGGTGCCCCGGCCAGCGCCTTCCCCCTCCCCCGCAGAATCTCACGGGGTGGGGTGGGGGGGTCAAGAACAGTCAGTTTTGCAACAAGAAACACGGGGGGGGGGGCACTGGAGACAATAAATAGGGGGGGGGGGCGCAGCCGGGGGGCGGGGGACACAGATGAGCCGGCGGCCGCGCACAGGCGCTCTGCGGGTTTTAGCTTTTATTAAATAAAATATATTAACATAAACTCTCTCCGGTGCCCCCCTGGCTAGCCCTTGATCCCCCCCCCCCCCCCCCGTTAGTAGCTAGAGCTGCTGAACCCCAAATATCCCCCTGGGACCCCCCCCCCTGCAGCGTCACCCCACACATACTATGGCACTGGGGGGGCCTGGGAGCAGCCCCCCCCTCGTCAATGTGGCCTTGGGGAGGGGCTCCCCCATTCCATGGGGGGGGAGAGGGCACCAGGGTGCTGGGAGGGGGGCCTTGGGTCCCCCCCCCCCCAATTGAACATTGCCACCATGGGGAGGTCACATCTCACTGTCCCCCTCAACGTCACCTCCTCAACCCCTCCCATGGCCCCAGTGAGGATGAAGGGGGTGCAGAGCATCCCCCCCCGCTCCAGAAGGACTGAGGCCTCACAAACTCACTCCATCTTCTGTCCCCTCTCGGGGGGGGGCCGGTAAATACCCGCCCCCCCCCCGCTCCCACTCTCCTCCCTGTCACAACGTGCCCTGTCCCTCGTCCCCTCCCCACGATGTCCTCTTGGTTCCTGTCCCCCCCCCCATGGCACTGCCTCTGGGGGGGGTCCCAATGCCCGGCCCCTCCCCACAAGGTTGGTTGGTTTTGGGGGGGGGGTCCCTGGGAATAGCGAAGCCCCCCGACACACACGCACACACACGCAGAGCCGCCCCGGGGGGGCTTTTGTTAGTGCCCGTGGCAGCCCCCCTGCCCACCCGGGGCTGGGAGGGGCGGCGGGGGGACACGGGGGGCCGCGGCCTTCATCCTCCTCCTCATCCTCGCCCCCCGCTCAGGCCTTCTTGGGCGGGGGGGCCAGTTTGATGATCTCCTCCTCCGAGGGCTGCCGGATGATGTCTGCGAGATGGGGGGGTCAGCGGGAGCCGCTGGGGCCCCCAGGGACCCTGAGGTGGTGGGGGGGGGACCCTGGCACCGCCCGGGGGGACAGGGGTGTCCCCAGCCCTTCCCGGGGGTCCTGGCACCACCCTGGGGGACAAGGGGGTCCCTGGCACCGCCCGGGGGGACAGGGGTGTCCCCAGCCCTTCCCGGGGTCCCTGGCACCACCCTGGGGGACAGGGGGTCCCTGGCTCCGCCCGGGGGGACAGGGGTGTCCCCAGCCCTTCCCGGGGGTCCTGGCACCACCCTGGGGGACAAGGGGGTCCCTGGCACCGCCCGGGGGGACGGGGGGCTCCGCGCAGGCTCCCACCTTTGTACTTCTTGGCGCTGGGGATGCGGGTGAGCTTGGTGTCCACCTCGTCCTCCTCGGAGATCTTGAGCACGTGCGTGCGGTACTGCACCACCATGGTGAGCAGGTCGGGCCGGCGCGAGATCTCGAAGATGTGCTCGATGTAGGACAGGTCGTCTGCGGGACGGCCGTGTGAGCGCGCGCACGAGCGTGCACGAGCGTGCAGGAGCACGCGGGAGCGTGCAGGAATGGGCAGGAGCATGCAGGAGCGTGCAGGAGTGCACAAGAGCACGCAGGAGCATGCAGGGTTGCACAGGAGCATGCAGGAATGCACAAGAGCATACAGGAGCATGCAGAGTTGCACAGGAGCACGCAGGAATGTACAAGAGCATACAGAAGCATACAGGGTTGCACAGGAGCATGCAGGAATGCACAGCAGCATGCAGAAGTGTGCAGGAGTGCAAGGGAACATGCAGGAGCGTGCAGGAGTGTGCAGGAGTGCAAAGGAACATGCAGGAGCGTGCAGGAACATGCAGGAGTGGGCAGGAGTGCAAAGGAACATGCAGGAGCGTGCAGGAGCATGCAGGAGTGTGCAGGAGTACACAGGAGCATGCAGGGACGTGCAGGTTTGCACAGGAGCATGCAGGAGCACACGGGAGTGTGCAAGAGCATGCAGGAGTGCACAGGAGAGCAAAGGAACATGCAGAAGCGTGCAGGAGCATGCAGAAGTGTGCAGGAGTGCAAAGGAACATGCGGAAGCGTGCAGGAGCATGCAGAAGTGTGCAGGAGCGCACAGGAACATGCAGGAGCATGCCAGGGCATGCAGGAGCACACAAGCGTGTGTAGGGGTGCACAGGAGCATGCCACAGTGCGCAGGAGCACACAGGAATGTGCAGGAGCGCACAGGAGCACCCAGGAGGGCTTGGTCCCAGCAGGGTGGGGACAGGGGACTGGATGGGGATGGGGACAGGAACAAGGGAAGGGCACAAGGACCCCGCTGGGAACATGGCCTGGGACAGGAGAGGGGAGCGGGTGACACGGAGCGGGAGAAGGGATGTGGATGGAGGATGGAACAAGATCTGGGACCGGGAGCAGGACAGGGCTGGGGACAGGACAGGGGACAGGGATTCAGGGCTGGGGAAGGGACCAGGATTGGGGACAAGGATTGGGATTGAGAGGAATCTGTGATGGGGACAGGACAGAAGGCACCAGGAAAGGGGACAGGGACTGGGATCAAGGGACAAGGATCGGTGATGGGGATTGGCACAAGGTTGGGGACCATGATAGTGACAAGAAGGAGGGCAAGGGGACAGGGATCAGGGAAGGAGACCAGGACAGGGAAAAGGAATTGAGGCAGGGGACAAGGACACGGATGGGGATCAGGACAGGCAGCAGGGACTGGGATAAGCGACAGGAATAGGGGTGGGCGACAGGAACAGGGAGCAAGGCAGGGGCCAGGGATCAGGCATGGGGAAGAGCCAAAAGACAGGGATCAGGGACAGGGATGAGGGCCGGCTGGGGACGGGGCTCACCCTTGTCCAGCTTGCCGTGCTGCTCCAGGAAGGCGAACCAGTGGTGGCTGGTGGCGATGGCCTCGCTCTGCTCGCTGGGGATGTCCTCCTTGCAGGCGCACTTGAGCTGCTCCAGGTCCTCGGCCGTGATGTTCTGCGCCAGCTCCTCGCGCAGCCTGCGGTACTCGGCCATGGCTGCGCAGGGACACGCGCGTCACGAGCGGCCCGGCCTCAGCCTCCCCGCGGCGCCGCGCGCGCCGCCGCTCCGCTGGCCCGTCACTCATGTGACGCTCATGGGATGTGACAGGGCCGGGGCCACGGGCGCCCACGCGGCTGCAC